TAAAGCCTCATCCAAAGTGACACAATCAGACCTATCTTCCAATAGAGTTATACCTCCAATCACAGCAGTTGACAACTCTTTAATAGGATGACCCAAATATGTCGAAGCCTCTGTCCAGAAACTCTTCTGCAAACCATTGCTCGACCGCAAACACCGATCCTCCTCTAGTAAGGCACGGTTCTCCAAATTTGTCACCCTATTTAGTTGCCCCAAGATTTCCTTTCCAACAAAGTGTCTCGAAATGCCGTGAGCTCGGCTCCAATACAGAAATAGGTCCATCTTGTACCTCCCACCAGAATGGAGTACCTTCACCTTTCTGTCTATTACACACTTCTTCAATCTGTTAGAAACTACTAGGACTTTCTCCAAAGGGGATTTGGTTGCAACCCAAACACGCCTAGACAGTCACCAACAAAGGAAACCAAATGCCTATTACCTCCCAATGATGCCCCCTTAGAAGGCCCCCAAACATCCACGTGAACTCCTCTAGAACGACTCTTAACATGGTGAATAGAGGTGCCAAACTTCACCTCGGTCTTCTTGCTCACATCAACACGTTCACTGGACTTTAAATTGCAGGTCTTTACACCCTCTTTCAATCTATGCGAGGAATCAATACTGGAATGGTTAAGCCCCAAATGCCACAGTCTAGTCAAATCAACAGAAGTCGTCAGCTCTCCACCTGCCACTATACCTTCAGTCAAGTAATACAGGTTATTTCTCCTGACGCCCTTCATCAAAATACGAGAGTCTCTCGCAATCTTGAGAACCATGTCCTCAACACGAACCTTCAGACCCTCTCCAACCAAAGCTCCAATCGAGATCAAGTTCTTCCTCAAAGAAGGAACATATCTCACATCGTTTAACTCTCTAACAGTCCCGTCAAACATCTTTATGCGAATTCTTCCTATCCCAAGGATCTGGCATGCACGGTTATCAGCCATGTACACCACACCACTATCCACCAGCTTCTCAAAACTGGAGAACCATTCCCTTCTAGGGCACACATGATAGGTCGCACCACTATCCAACATCCATTCAGATTCCTCCGAATAGCTATCTGTAGGACTGATAGAAAGCGAATAAATAGAAGAGTCGGAATTATTACCATCTGATACGATATTTGCTTCTGATGATGACTGCTTCCCTTTTCCCTTCTGTTTATTCTTCATCCATTCGTCGAGCTTTGGGCAGTCTTTCTTCCAATGACCAGTCTCCTTGCACCAAGCACACTGATCTTTTCCAATTGTAGGATGCCCTACTCAATTCTTCCGGTTTAGATTCTTCCCTCTTGCGACCAACGCCTCTGCTACCGACTCAGTCGAATTCTCCTTATCCTTCTTCCGAAGCTGATAATTCACCAATGCAGCAGTGACCTCACTATACGAAAGTGATGCCTTCCCATTAATCAGAGTAAGAACGAAGGCCTTATATTCATCGTCGGGCAAGTAACTCAACAACAGCAACGCCTTGTCCTCATCTTCAATCTTGACATCCACATTCGCCAAATCCGCAAGAAGCTTTGTGTAGTGGTTCATGTGATCTCTAATGGAGGTTCCCTTCTTCAACTGGAAACGATAAAGTCTCCTCTTCAAATGCAAGCGATTTTCCACACTCTTGGTCAAATACTTGCTTTCGAGAATCTCCCAAATCTTCTTCGCAGAAGTCTCATTCATCACATCATATTTTAGATCTTGAGTCAAACAAGACCTAATCACACCACACGCCGTTCGATTCATCTTTTTCCAAACCTTCTCTTCAATCTCATCTGGCTTGCCATCTAACTCCAAGGTATCCTCCAAATTCTGCGCGTTCAGCGCATCCAAAACCTCGCATCTCCATAATCCAAAGTTGTTTGTGCCATTAAATTTCTCCACATCTATCTTCATAGAGTGGATATTCAAACTCTGAATAGTCTTCACGCCAGAAGAACCACCCTCGACTCCCGAAGCACCTTCTTTCCCCGACATCTTACGCACCAACGAACGAAAAATAGATCCAAAAAAGATAGAGTCTTTACCAAAAAAATTCCACCTTTATCACCAACGAAGTCCTAGTCGAACTTCCAAATTGATCTACTCCTCCAAATAGCCCAAGCGTAGCCCGAGCTCTGATACCACTTGTTGTGCGCAGCGGAAATTTCGGCAGAATTTCTGGTGCACAATAAGAGAGAAAGATCAATAAGAATTCACGTCTCACCAAGGAGATAAGAATCTGAAGCGGATATCTCAACCAAGTGAGATATCGGCTCTTCCTCTCATCAGTTCTAGGACTGACCTGTCGAGGGATCCTAAAACTAATTTTACAATGGCCACAAACTCAAACAATCAATTTTATGTGGTTCGGCAAACTGCCTACGTCCACGGGGCAAGGAGGGGGAGATCTACTATTAGAAGGGGAGAGAATACAACTAGGTTTACAACTCTCACAATTTAAACCCTCAAATAATCTCTCACACACACAAATATCTCTCTGTTTTTCTCTTTCAACAGCCTGCACAAAGCCTTTGCCTCTGTCCTTGCTCTGCTCCTTTCTGTAGCCGCCAAAAGATCATGCACTCCCTCCTTTTTTCACGCCACCCGAGGCCAATCAATAGGGTTTATATATAATGTTTCATTCAAGAATCGGGTGGGCCATCAACAATCCGCTGGACAAACTCCTCCCACGAAAGAACTCATGGCCTGCTGGACTTCTCCCACAGAAGGACTCGTGGCTCCCACTCTTGTTTTTAAACATCACACGTTTTCTATCTCAACTGCAGCTCTAATTGTGGGCCCCTCACATGTGCGTTCCCATCAATCAACAAAGGCAACCATTGATTCCCATCTATAAACTAAGAAACCCTAAAGTTATTTGCTTCATCGTACTACATCCAATAAAAATCTTGACAATTTTACCTTCATCTGACGAGTCCCGTATTCTAGTTCATAATGTGCATACTTGCCATAGTATCTTGTACAGTGCTAGATCTCCGCCTTCTGACCTTTTCATCCATCCACTTGGATCAACTATATTGTCCATGTGTAGGATTTGATATACAACATGATTAAGTGATTTGAGGACTTATTAAGTTTTAACTTGGTTATATTTATTATATCTCTGCTCCCCCTAAATTTTGGTTTATGCATTTTGGATGAAAAATACCATGAATGGTAAATTCTTTCAAGTAGGGGTTTTGATTTTATAACCTAGCTTTTCACAGTTAGTTTATCTTAATAGAACTTGTAGAGAGTACATGAAATGAAAATCAAATGTTCAAATATCATCCACATACAGAATCAATGTAGAAGGCAACCATTGATTCCCCTCTATAAACGAAGAAACTCTGAAGTTATTTGCTTCATCATACTACATCCAATAAAATCTTGACAATTTTACATTCATCTTACGGGTCTCGTATTCTAGTTCATAATGTGCATATATACTTGTCATAGTATCTTGTATAGTGCTAGATCTCCGCCTTCTGACCTTTTCATCCATCCACTTGGATCGACTATAATGTCCATGTGTAGGATTTGATATACAACATGATTGAGTAATTCTTCCGTACGTGGCCAAGCTAAGAAAGTCTTAAACGACATGTTTCTAGCAACAATGTTTGAAGGTAGGACGGAACAATTTCAAAACCATGAAGCTAGTTGTTTTGTTTACTTCTTCATAGGTGTGGGCTTAGATAGAATTGGCAAGTCCTAGCATTATTGGTAAGTAACAAACAACAAATAAGGTTTACTAAGCTTTTATTGACCTAAATCTAGGTCATTAAAGTTTAATTTTTGTTTTTGCTCGTTATATTATTGTAATGTTGCTTTTTTTTCCATACAACATGATGTTGGTTTTGTAATTGGGCACTTCCACTTACTTGCTGTATAATCTTGTCTTATTGACAGGTTTGCTCATGTTTGGTGTGAAAGCAATCGCGTCGCGGATCTTCATGGAATTTATGATTCCATCTGGAGCCACAGTCAATGTATGCATGCAAGAAAATACAATACAACAAAAGTTCTCATTTCATGGTAAATTTTTAAAAATTGTGTGCAATATTATATATTTACTTACACATTCGAATTCTATAGTATGTAATCTGTTTTAGGTTTGGTGGTGAATATAATAGTAGAGAGATCACTAATGATTTGTTCACAAACTAAAACAAAATAAAATAAAATAAAATAAAATAGCATAAAATAAAAGTTTAGCAAAACATAGGCATTCTTGCACATGTGCAAAGTGCTGATCTAGGATTTGATCTTAATTATACTCATAAATTATAAATTCGATAACCCTTAAACCACCTAAGAGGTTTTGCAGTAGAGTATATATACAATATCATCCAATAAATATTTTTTCTTAAAAAAAACTACCAGCTAGCACTTTTGATCAACCATTAGTCCATGTCAACGAATCGAGATCATGTCTCGCACATCGATACATTAATGTATGAATCAAAATCTAGCGAAAATATAATAAGATATTGTTGGCAAGTGCATTAATCTATGCGATGTGATCTCTATGATGTATGTAATTTGAGCAATTATTAAGTTTTAACTTGGTTATTCTATGTTTGCTTTCGCTAAAATTTATTTTATAAATTTTAGTTCAACGGTTTTAGCTTTACCTGCTCTTTTCGAATCTGATTTGAATTTACTCACTTGTGTTAAATTTATTATTTCATGGAGTATTTAATTTTTTTTTTCAATGATTCTATTTAAAGGGGTCTGAACAATTGGATCTGAATGCATGCAATTAAATATACGATATTACCCTTTCATGTGCATACTTCATGCTGTTGGAGAAAAGTATACATCAAACATTTTACTCCAAACAACAGGCTCAACAACACACCAATTAAAAGGCAATAACGTAGAGGATATATGCATGTATGAATAAAACAAGGGAAAAATGTGTCCAGGCCCCAAAAGTGGGAACTTCGTGTGACTAGCCCCCCTGTACTTTGCCCCATGTGGAATAGCCCCCAAATACGCATAGTATTTGCGACGAGGCCCCGAATTGACTTTTTTTCAGAAAAAGCCAGAGGAAGTTACGATCTTGCCCTCTGATGGGACTGAGCTGGGTTAATGTGCCCCTCACCTTTACAAGTACTCTCCCTCTCTTTCTCTCTCTTCCACCTAGCACCGCCATCAAAAACTCTTCATCTTCCTAATTTCTGTACGGATTTCAACGTTTCTAGGGTTTTCGCCGGAAAAATGTCGTCTACGGAAGAATCCAGTAACGACTACGAGGTCGGGCACCGAGCCGAGTTGGAAGGAAAAGGCGCTTCATCTGCGGGTGGCAGCACGGAGGAAGCTACGGAAGCTACGAAAACCCTAATCGAAATGCAAAAGGAGGCATTACAATGGCGAGACCAGAAAAGGAGGACGACAATGGCTGGTCGTACCAAAGAACCCCCCTCAAAAAAACAGTAAGTGTTATGTTATACTGCGAACAGACAATGCAGATTAACCCAATATTGTTAGTTCTAGGCTTATGTTATATTGCGAAGAGACAATGCAGATTAACCCAATATTGTTAGTTCTAGGCTTTGTCCAATGTTAGTTCTAAATTTATACCAACGTTAGATCTAGTTTAAGTCCAATGTTAGTTCTAATATGAGTCCAATGTTAGTTCTATAATATTACGTGTTAGCTCTATTTTGTTCCCGTTAGTGCTAGGTCTAATATTGTTTCATATGTCTTATTGAACTTACAAATTCGAAAATTTTTTGCAGGGAAAAAATTGCTCTAACAGGCTCAGCAGAAACACTAAGGTTAACGGCCAATATCGGGGCTTATTGGGCATTTATGAAGCGCCTTGCCCCGAAGATCCGTCAGTGGCATAGGGATGCATACTGCGGTTCTATATTTCAGCACTACATTTTGTTTGGGGCTCCTGCGCCTGATCGGCCCACCCTTGAGCTGCTGCTGAGCTTTTTCGATAGAGATAATAACACCTTTTGTATACCTGATTCAAAAAGTGGGGGTATGAAAAATGTTAGTTTTGATTTGCAATGGGTCCACAACCATACTTATTTCCCAATTTATGGGGAGGACATAAGGAACAATAGGGACTGATTTGGTAGTAAATCCATTTCTGAGTTTGAGTCCGAAACCGATCTTGATTCGATCGTGATTCGTCCGAGTCCGCTCTTGTTTGAATGACTCGTTGATTCCCCGAACCGTTGGCTTGATTCCACGCTCGAATGGATGTATTCCGTTGCTTGCGTGCGATTCGTCAACCCCGTCGCCTCGTTGGTTCGTCGGTTTGTGCCGAGCTATGCTAAAGGACCTATAAGCAATTTTATATGCCTACACCTGATAGATCTTATTTCTCCCCTAGTCGCTAGGATAGCAGCAATCGAAGAGCTTGTGGCGAATCACATTACACCACCACCACCAGTAGCTGAAACCGCCATTTCTCAAGAAAATGGGACAGCTAAGTTCCAGAAGGACGAGGAAGGGAGTGCTAAGAGAGGGCACGCCGGAGACAAGGGCAAGAACAAGAGACCCTTGATTGGATCCCAACAGCACCAGTAGAGCCCTCATAAGAAGGGATCTCAACAGGATTAGAGAGCAAGTCAGCAGCAAAGGTTTCGGGGATCTTGTTTTAACTATCGCAGGGTCGGACACAAGGCATTAGAGTGCCACAGTGCACCAACAAGAGCTCAGAAGGGAAATGGTCCAACTCAGCAGCAATGGAAGACTGAAGGGCAGGTTCTAGCAGTTCAGGAGGTTTCCCAGGGGCAGATTGTCCCATATTCTCCAGCACCAGTGACAGAGCAGTCTTTAGCCACCGGCAGAGTATATGCAGTAGTCCCACATGATCATGGAGCTAATGGAGCAGTTTTGGAGGGTACGTTCTTTGTGAATCCCTTTTTCCACCCGTATTCTTTTCGATTCGGAATCGTCGCATTCCTTCATATCGCATGCATTTATGGCTAGACTCCAGCTTGTAGCTCAACCTCTAGACACCCCTTTTTTCTGTTTCCACCCCTTTAGGAGAGGTATCGCTTCTGGAGAGCGTTTGTAGGAGGTGTACTGTCAGTCTAGACGAGTCGGAGTTCATAGTGGATTTGATAGTGTTGCATATGTCCGAGTTTGATGTCATCCTTGGTATGGATTGGTTGTCTTCCTACCATATTAGTATTGACTGCTTTGCAAAGACAGTCAAGTTGCGAGCGTCCGACGGGTCCGAGATGATTGTAGCCGCCTCTCAGGGCAACCGACTTGCGGAGTCATTTCTGGCGTACATCGAGGAGGTGATGCGACGGGATCAGGGTGCTGAGTTATTGGAGACTAGAGTTGTCTCAGAGTATCAGGATGTCTTTCAGGACATACCTGGATTACCTCCGGTGAGAGAGGTGGAGTTTTGTATTGAGTTGCAGCCTGGCACAGCCCTGATATCCCGCGCACCCTATCGCATGGCACTAGCTGAGATGAGAGAGATTCAGACCCAGTTGGACGAGTTATTAGCTCAGGGTTTTATTCGCCGGAGTCATTCTCCGTGGGGCGCGCCGGTCCTCTTCGTGAAGAAGAAGGATGGTAGTATGAGATTATGCATAGATTATCGAGAGTTGAACAAGGTCACTATCCGGAATAGGTACCCACTACCTAGGATTGATGGCTTGTTTGACTAGTTGCAGGGAGCGTAGTATTTCTCGAAGATTGATCTTCGTTCTGGCTATCATCAGTTGCGGGTTCGGGAGATGGATATTCCCAAGACCTCCTTTCTTACTCGATATGGTTCTTTCGAGTTCTTGGTCATGCCATTTGGGTTGACCAATGCACCCGCGGTATTCATGGACTTGATAAATCGGGTTTTCCGTCCCTTCTTGGATCAGTTTGTGATCGTCTTCATCAAAGATATACTCATTTACTCGAGGTCGGAGGCGGATCACGAGGAGCATCTACGGATAGCATTGAGGACTCTTCAGGAGCATCAGTTGTATGCCAAGTTCAGCAAATGCAAGTTTTGGCTTTCAGAAGTCAGATT